GCTCGATTTGCTCTGCTAATGTGACAGTACATGAATATAAACAGTGTTAGAGCAGTTCTTTACATGACAGTACATGAATATAAACAGTGTTTGAGCAGTTCTTTACGTGACAGTACATGAATATAAACAGTGTTTGAGCAGTTCTTTACGTGACAGTACATGAATATAAACATATCCCATCTTTAACACCTAGTTAACATTCTAATACATTCATGACCTGAAAGACCCGGAATTAATTGACAGTAGTTCAGACGACTTTACATATATATCTCCCCATTTATCATATTTGTAAAATTTTATTAAAAAGTCGTTTGATTAATTATAAATTAATTCCGAGTCTTTCTGGTTCTGACTGTACAATAGTTTTTAAAGAGTTACGCTTGTTGTTGTATTTTGTACATTTGAATTTTAATCAACAACATGTACTACAGGATATATACTTGAATTTTTATCAACAATATGTACTGCAGGGTGTGTACGGTAACCTCCATATATCCATCTGTCAGTGGCCTGGGGATAATAATCGACTAGGTAAATATTAAGATTAAAGGGGTTGTTCATTTAATTTAGAATACTTATAAAATATACCCACTTTTTGGAATAAGAAACATAATTAAATATATTTTACATGAAGCAAAAAAGAAATATCAGCTTACAATACATGTTTGATCGATAGATAGTTAAATACCTAAATTCTTAGGGTATTAAGTGTATTTTCAATCCCTTTAAATAATGATTTAAACCATAATTTGAAAAATAGAATATTGTTAATATTAATTATGTCAAAAATATCAAGTTTGTACAATGTACAATGCACAATGCACATGCATCATTTATGGTCATAGTAAGATGTTAGGTCGTAGCAGTGCTTCTAGGGTTTCAAACGCAATTGGATTTTATTTCGCGCAATTGTGAGCCCTGTAAATTCATCGCAATTCCGCACAATTACGCTCAATTCCGTACAATTATTTGCAATTCCATGCAATTCCGCAAATTTGCGCACAGAATTCCAATTGTAAACCCTAAGTGCTTCCCGTCCCAGGCCTGCTTCCGCCGCAGCTTTCGTTCCAGAAATTTTCTTCTAACCAGGGTTTTAATTTTTCTTAGATCAATGTGGTAACTGTGAGGGCATTACAGAACTTTCCCTGAAGCTGTAAAAAATTATAATTCATTAAACACTTGTTGACATTTAATGGCCAAACCTTCTTTACCAAATTAAAATAATTTAGCTCGCAAGATGCTTTACAGAGCTAGGTGTTGGACGCTGAAAGAAGTTCACGGAACAATTATTACGGTACAAATTCCATATGGAATAATCGTCCCGTGAACTTTTTTCAGTATGTCACATTGTCACATCTTGCTCTGTGTAGCTTCTAGGGGTACTATAGGCGTAAGTTCAATTGACCCTCCATGCAAAGATGACAATGCTCGATTTACAATGGTACCCTTGACAACTTCTCCTGATAAAAACTGTGGAAGATAACTTCGTATCTATTATTCAAAAAGAGTTTATCTCTGTGAATTTCTCAATTGGTTCTTTTAAGCAAGAAATGCGCTAATCACTATTGTAGAGAAACCACAAATAAAAATTGAATAAACAAAACATGGATGTCTAATTAATACATAATTAGACGGAGGGTACCATTGAAAATCGGGTACGGGGCTATTTTTGTCCGGGGAGTGTGATACATGTCCTTAGTCCAACCTTGTAAGGCATCTATCTCTAATGGTTTGGGTGCAAGGGAGGATAAAAAGAGTTCAAAAAGTACATCTGAAAAATGTTTAAAAATAAATATTTTTACTTTGACAAATGTTAACATGTGACACAAGTTATTTCAACCATTTTCGTGATTCTTTAATTCATTTGC